TATATTTCCTTAAGTCAAGGAACAAAAACAAAGGCACTAGGTTTTAAGAAAACCTGTCAATCTGGTGAAGCAAAAGGAATCTGGTGCCAGCAGTGGGTGCGAGTGCCTGGGATGCGGGAGGAAAGAATTTTCAGTAACCACCAGGGGCTTGCCCCAATGACAGCAACTGGTGCCCTGCCTTGGTCTGGCGCCCTGCTTCACCACCTCGCCAAGGCTGATGCCTGCCATGTTCTGTGCTCTGCCGCCTGCTGCCGGCACCCACCATTTTCCACATGTGCCCTCTGGTGGTCAGTGCACGTCATAGCGACCGGTTGTTCGGCTGTTTGGTCTATTTGCATATTAAGGTTTTATATATAGAGATAACTTTATGCCCAGCACTATGCTGAGGTACTCTGGGAACCATAAGGGAAATTTAAAGTCAACGTATGAATCATCATGGGACTTCCTATTAGAGCATCATAGCAAAAGAAATTATTAAGTAATGTTACAAAATCATATGTGATCCATTACAAATTGTTTTTTAGACAAAAAGGGTTAAGAGTTAAGAGAGGAGAGAGCTCAATGTCTCTTTTACTGGTCAGAGCACCCAAAGGGATGGAAACATTTGGCTAGGCAGAGGGAAGTAGTGACAGATACCCATTCAGTAAGTGGTACTTGCTGTTCTCTTTCCTTTGTGCACACACACACTTGCCTACTTTCATTTGTACACAATGACAAATGAAAATCAAGTTGAGTTAAATGTGAGTTCTAGAGTGTTAGCTAGGTCTACTCTCTGCCAAATGATTTAGTCCTACACGCTAGCATCACATTTTAATGCCAAGAATTTGCTGAATGTTCATGCCTCAATTTCCTCATCAGTAACATCAGAAATAATATCTAACCTGCAGTGTTGTTATAAGGGCTAAATAAATAAGTGCATGTTGAAAGGGTTAAGTATTGTGCCCGGAATGTAATAAAAATAGCTATTTCCTCTTTTCATGTACAGAAAAGGAGAGGCTTGTATAAAACTAGAACTAGAGCTGAGAATGATGATTGGATGATAGTAGAGTAATGAGTATTACTAACATTTTTGAGCCCATTTCTATGGGCCAGGCATTGTGTTAAGTGCTTTCCATATAGTAACTCTTTAAATTCTGTGAAATGGATTATTTAATCCTCGCCCAAGGATATGTTTCATTGTTTTTTAGAGAGAGAGAGAGGAGAGAAACATCAATGTGAGAGAAAAACATTGATTGCTTGCCTTCCGTGCCCACTCCAACTGGGGATCAAAACTGCAACCTAGATATGTGTCCTGACCAGGAATCTAAACACCACCTTTTGGTGTGTGGGACAGTGCTCCAACTAACTAAGTCCACCCAGCCAGAGCTATCATTTATATTTTACAGATGAAGAATCTAAGGCAGAGAGATTAAGTAGTTTGCTCAAGGTCAGAGACAATCTGATTCTACAGTCTGCCCCCTATAGGGTGAACTATTAAAAAAAAGTGGAGGTTTCGGAATGCCATGCAATGGAAGTATACAAATCTTAGGTTATTAGGACCATTGTACTTCTGTTATCAGTGTGGTACAAGTAATTTTGCCGTAGCCTTAACTCATTTAGTGAAAGTGATACTCCAGAGCTCATGTAGTGTACACTTGAATGGTAAAGCTTAATTTGGATAATCTCTTACTCCCTTAAGGGAAAGTGATTTCTTGTGTTGGTTGCAATAGGAGATTTTATTACTAAAAGATTCTAGAACATGCTAATCTTTTTAGGTTTAGCACGTAAGAATGCTCTATAAACCTTTCCTCCCTTTGTAGGATTGACTATCCAATATGTGTCCCTTGCCCCACCAGTGGAATGGTGCTCATGTTATTGCTTATGAGAGAGTATTGTCCTTAATTGGTTTTGTCAAACTTGATAATTCAGCCATTCACAACTGTAAGACCAGATGGTATTTTGGAGAACACCTCTTCTTTCTGGCAATAACCATTCCACTACTAATTGTAGCTACCCCATTGGTATTTCTTGTTCACTTCCCTTGTTCCTTCCCATAATTCTGATACAAATTTGAAATATATGTTTTGGGGTTCACATTTCGATAGAAATAAGGAAGCATTCTTTGATATTTATGGAATTCTTCTGCTCTGGAACTGACTGCTATATTTTATTTTCCTGCCCTAAAATTTCAGATCTGAAAATGATGCTGTACTTAGTCTTTGAGGGTAGAAATGGTGTTGTTGAGTTACACTTGTTTTTGTGCACTGGGGATAGCCCTCAAGTTGTTCATAGCCCAGTGGGGAAGACAGCCTTCTAGATAAATATATGCAGAAAGCAGAGATATAGTAACAGAAGTCTGTACAGACTACAAAGGGACCCAAAAAGGAATATGGTCAAATGTGTTTGGAGGGAGTCAAGGATGGCTTAATAGAAGAGGTGATGCTTGAAGAGAGTCTTAAAAATTAATAGGCGAAGAAAGAACATCCCAGGCAAAGAGTGTAAAATACTGTGACTCATTTAGGTAGCTTTAACTAGGTTGATGTATCTGGAGCAAATGATGAAGCTGTTAGATGTCAGGAGCCAAGTCATGTAAGGCCTTTTATGCCATACTAAAGAGTTTGGGCTTCTAGTTCCATATGCTGGAATGAGCTGAGTGAAACCCTGCACTTCATTCTAACCATGTAGAAAGTTTCCAGTACAGCCCTGCCAGTGTGGCGCAGTGGTTGAGTGTTAACCCATGAATAAAAAGGTTATGGTTCCATTCCTCGTCAGGGCCCATGCCCGGGTTGCGGGCTCCATCCCCAATAGGGGGCGTGCAGGAGGCAGCTGATCAATGATTCTCTCTAAGCATTGATATTTCTCTCCCTCTCCCTTCCTCTCTCTGAAATCAATAAAAACATATTTTTTAAAAAAGTCTCTAATACTGAGGTGAATTTGAAAGCAAGAAGGAGAAATCCTCAGGTGCCAGGAAGAAAGAGGAAATCCAAACCCAGAGCTGAAGTTGAATAGTTCTATTGAAACCAGATGTAATGCTTAGGGGCTAGGGTTTTAGGGTCAGTACGGGGATTGCACATAAATCCTCAGGTTAATAACCCCCATATGAAGCCGAGAGCCAAAACAAGACTACCATGTTTGAGAAAAATGAACTAGAAAAATTTCATTAGTCTAAGGAAACAGCATGAAGATTGTGGTTTTCTCAGGGTTTGGGGTGAAAAAAGAGTTAACTATAACAGTGTAGAACTCCATACTTATTACTATGCCTGGAGATATATATCTATATTTACATTTATACACGAACACATGGGGCTATATAATAAAAGGCTAATATGCAAATGGACCAAATGACAAAATGATCGTTTGCTATGACGGGCACTGACCACCAGGGGGCAGACGCTCAATGCAGAAGCTGCCGCCTGGTGGTCAGTGCGCTCCCATGGCGGGAGCACCGCTCAGCCAGAAGTCGGACTCATGGCTGGTGAGCGCAGCAGCGGTGGCAGGAGCCTCTCCTGCCTCCGTGGCAGCACTTAGGATGTCCGACTGCCGGCTTAGCAGGGAGCAGGCCTAAGCCATCAGTTAGACATCCCCCACAGGCTCACGGATTGCAAGACGGTGCAGGCCGGGCTGAGGGACTCCCCCCCCACCCCCACTAGTATATATATATATGTACTAGTGGCCCAGTGCATGAAAATTCATGCACTGCGGGGGAGGGGTCCCTCAGCCCCACCTTCCCCCACTCACAATCCAGAAGCCCTCAGGGAATGTCCTATTGATGTGGGGAGGCGGGGGAGCAGGCCTAAGCCACAGTCGGGCCTCCCTCTGCGGGAAGCGACCAGCGGATCAGGGAAGGTGACACCCCCATCATGCCTCTGCTGCTGCTGCTGCTACTGCCAGCCGCCACAGCTGCCTGAGCCTTGGCCCTCACAGCCACTGCAGCTGCCTGAACCTCAGCCCGGCCTTCGCAGCAGCAGTAGCCACCATCCGCCGCTTGCCTGAGTCCCTGTGAGCCCGCAGTGGGTCAGCCAGGCCAGGTAGAGCCTGGGGGGCCTGGGGAGGCCTTTCCCTCCTGGAGCCATTCTTTCCAGGGTGGCAGTGTCAGCCGTTTTTTGTTGTTGTTTTTTTTCAAAATTTTTTTAAATTGGAAAGCAAGCTCTGGGCTTGCAGTTCCTGGGATCCCTGGGCCATAGCATGCACCTCCAGGACTCACTGTGCCACCCGCCCCGCCTCCTGGGTTGAGTGGCTGGCCCCTGGTGGTCGTTACAGTTATTACATCCTTAGGGCTTTTATTATATAGGATATATATATATACATATAGCTTAACTCACACTATCTGCAATCCTGATTATAAATACATATATATATATACACATTCACACACACACACACACACACAGCTTAAATCACACTATCTGCAATCCTAAATATTAATTAGGGGAATAGATTTTACAACTTTTAGGACATTTCTATATAAAAATAATGGAATACTCTCCAATACTATTAAAGTATATTATCTGGCTTTATTTATATCAGTATGAATAAATAAAGAAAACATATTGAGTGAAAAAGCAAGGTGTGGAATGATATGATATTTATACTTTCTTCCTATTGAGACTATTTCAGAACACTAAAACCTGATTGGCATCACAACAGAAAGTAAGGCTTTTTCTTCCCTTGCCTCTCTTTTTCCTAGCTTCAAACCTGGAAGAGTTAGAGACCAAAGTAAAGAAGCAGATAGGATAGGAGGAAGAACAAAGATGGGAAAGTAGAAGAGTCAGACATATCCTCCTCCCACCACTGCCGGCTAGGCTGGAAGCAGACCCCAACCAGGGGGGAAGTTGAGACTTTTTTTGCTGTTGTTGCTTTTATATATTTATATATACATATATACTTTAAGTTGATTTCAGAGAGGGAGAGGGGGAGAGAGAGAAACATCAATGATGAGAATCATTGATTGGCTTCCTCCCACATTCCCCCTACTGGGGTTCGAGCCCACAACCCAGGCATGTGCCCTGACCAGAATCCAGCTGTTACCTCCTGGATCATAGGTGGACCCTCAACCACTGAGCCACAGCAGTTGGGCTGTTGTTGCTTTTTATTGAACTACTAGAGGCCCAATGCATGAAATTCATGCACTCGGGGTGGGGGTGTCCCTCAGCCCAGCCTATGCCCTTTTGCAGTCCAGGAGCTCTCGGGGGATATCGGACTGATGGCTTAGGCCTGCTTCCCACGGGAGCGAGCCCAAGCTGGTAGACATCCTTAGTGCTGCTGTGGAGGCAGGAGAGGCTCCTGCCACTGCAGCTGCACTCGCCAACCGTGAGCCCAGCTTCTGGCTGAGTGGCGCTCCTCCTATGGGAGTGCACTGACCACGAGGGGGCAGCTCCTGTGTTGAGCGTCTGCCTCCTGGTGGTCAGTGCCCATCATAGTGAGCAGTTGTCCTGCCATTTGGTTGATTTGCATATTAGCCTTTTATTATATAGGATGACATGCCTATAAAAAAGTGGACAAATCATGAGTGTACCTCTTGACAGATTTTCACAAAGTGAACACACCTATGTCACCAGTATCCAGATCAAGAAACAGAACATTACCAGAATGCCGGAGCCCTCAATACCCTCTTCCGTTCCTTAACTGGGCCCTCTCACCAGGGTAATAACCGTCAAGACAAAATTTTTAAAAAAATTGATTTCAAAGAGGAAGCGAGATGGAGAGAGTGAGAGAGTGAGAGAGTGAGAGAGAGAGAGAGAGAGAGAGAGAGAGAAACATCAATGATGAGAGAGAATCATCATCTGGCTGGCTGCCTCCTACATGCCTCCTACTGGGGATCAAGCCTGCAACCCAGGCATGTGCCCTGACTTAGAATTGAACTGGACTTCCTGATTCATAGGTCAGTGGTCAACCACTGAGCCACACCAGCTGGGCAAGATTTTTTAATTATAAAAACAACTTTATTATTTTATCTTTGTTTACTTAAAAAAATTCTTTAGTTGAAATAATTTCAAAACTACAGAAAAGTTGCAACAGAACAAAGGACTTTCCTATCCCTTCACCCAGATTCCTTAATTGTTAAAATTTTATACTTAATGAAAAATGGTAATGTTTTATTTATAAAAAATGGCAAAATGTTAACTTTAACATTTATAAAAAAGGGCAAAATGTTAACAAAAAAATGTATTTTTTTATTGATTTCAGAGAGGAAGGGAAACGGGGAGAGAGAAACATCAACGATGAGAGAGAATTATTGATTGGCTGCCTCCTGCACGCCCTCTACTGGGGATTGAGCCTCCCTAGGCATTTGCTCTTGACTCAAACTGAACCTGGGACCCTTCAGTCCGCAGGCTGGCACTCTATCCACTGAGCCAGACCGGCTAGGGCTTAACTTTTTTATTATAAATAGTGAATTACTCTACCTTTCTATGTGTTTAGAGTTTTAAAAAGTTCTTCAAACGAGACCGTTTTATTTTTTTTAAATATATTTTATTGATTTTTTTACAGAGAGGAAGGGAAAGGGATAGAGAGATAGAAACGTCGATGAGGGAGAAACATCAATCAGCTGCCTTCTGCATAACCGCCACTGGGGATGTGCCCAGAACCAAGGTACATGCCCTTGACCGGAATCGAACCTGGGACCCTTCAGTCTGCAGGCCGACGCTCTATCCACTGAGCCAAGCCGGTTAGGGCACAAACAAGACCGTTTTAGTTCTTCATCTAGGAAGCAGGGAGCTGTTGAAGTGCGCTTTTATTGTTGAAATAAATATGTCTTTATGACTTTTCTGTTCTCTGTCCTCATCTATGAATTAAAGCACTTAAGTAAGCTATAGGGTTGATTCACCTCAGCATCGTTTTTCTTTTCTTCTCATCCTTATTGCTTCTCACTGCTAAGTGCCCAGTGGTATCTGACATGGTAAGATTAAAACTTGCACTTTTCCTAATAGATGTAACTCTCTTCCTGATTTGCAGTAAGCAGGACCTGCTTTTAAGCAATTACCCATCATTTGGGGCTTCACACACACTGTGCTTTGGTTCAGGTCATAATCAATAATTCATCTGTCAATAGGAGCCCCATTAGCTCAGGTGAAGGCAGATGTCTTTATAATGAAAATGTTCCATTTTCCAAATGACGTTTCTTTTTCCCAGAGAGTTGTGGTTGTAGAAGACATAAAAAGATGGAAAACTATGTTGGAGCTTCCTAATCAAACCAAAGAGAATCTAGTTGAAACCTTACGAGAATTAAAGAAGAAAATACCCTCCAAGGAAGTGTTAAAATCAACAAGGATAGGTATGTTTCTCCTGAATATTATGCAGAGTACTTATATTTTGTCTCTTTCCTTCTTCCTTTCCTCCCTCCCTCACACATTAAATTACCTATCATATCAGTGCTTTCTCAAACTATCCATGGTAAGGGACTGTTGTTTTAAAAAGTTTCCATTGGTTGCAGACCAGTACTTTCATAATATATGGTAAAAATTACCAGAAAAATAAAATTCAAATATACAAAATACAAGCCCTACCTTTTTATTATTAGATTCAACAGATGTAGAATTACTCTGTAAATTGCTATAAAATTTTCTAATGCTTCAGTTTCTGAGTTTATTGCCTGGACTAGTAACTGCAGTGATCTATGGATGACATTTTGAGTGAGTTTGATGCTGGGTGTGCAAAAATGGGTAAGACATGATTCATGATCTCAAAGAACTTACGGTTTGGTGGAGAAATAAGCATGTAGACAAATGTGAACAGTAAGAAATTATAGGTTATAAATAAAAACAATAGAAATTATATCTGTGGTACCATTCTGATTTATACAAGGTGTATGCTGGCATAAAGAACAGAGTAGTCATTTGCACCTGGGGAGTTAGAAAGGGCTTCATAGAAGAAGTGACATTTCAGTTCAATCTTTAAAGAGACTTGGCTTTTCTGTCTTGAGTAGAAATAACTTGCAAAGCATGGTTTATAAAAACAAAATGATAGCATCCTTTGCTGCTACATCATTTGTTATGGCATTAGAGATATTTAAAAGATAAATCAGGGACCGCACTGAATTGCTATTTTAGTATAGTACACAACTGTGAATAATCTGCAAGGGAGGACCAACATGTGTTCCTCAAGCTGCTCCCAACTCCCCAGGGAGTCCAGGGTAGTCATTCACAGCTGCTGTTCTTGCCCTCACTAGTGCAGCTATTGCCTTCTCTGCCTCCTCTTGACCTCTTGTTCATGAGAGGCAGGAGAGAGAGCAGCTTCACACTGGCGCTAACAGCTGGCAGGAGCTGTGTGAAATCCCCCAGAGAGCCCCCCAAGAGTCTTGAGAGTTGCACCCCTGTAATATAAACCAGAATCTGAGAAAATTAGATGCTTAAAGAACATAAAACCCTATCATTATAGCCAAGGAAATGCTCCCATCTGCTGGTGGATTTTCTCTTTATAGGTTGTGGTCACTAGAGGGCAATAAGACCATTCATATGGGCAGATAAGGTATTTCCACCAGTAGAGGGTACTAGTGATTAATATTTTATGACCTGTATATATTTACATATATGTATATATATGTTCATATTTAGGCACATGCCACAGTTACCATTTATGATCAGAGCTTAAATATCAACATAATAGGCTGGAATTGTCCTACAAATATAGAACGTGAGAATTTTTAAAAAATCCTTTCTATTACTTCTTTGAGTAAATTGTGAGTATGCTTTCAATAATGGGTGTGTCTGATCAGAGATTTCAATTCAAAGATCATAATGAAACCACAAAAGGGGCTTGACTTGAGAGGAGCTGGAAACCATCCAAGTGTTGAGTCTTGACCCTACCCAAGCCTTCCCTAAAAGTGAGGTTGAATAGAATATAGGGGTTTCTTGATTTTTTTGTAGTTGCAACAGTTGCTAAGCTGAAGATTCATTTGGATCATTGCCTGAGCATGTTTACATTCTTCCATCTTTAGCCTCCTGCCTGTCCTTATCCTGTGGGCTATAAGAGACCAGTATTTACCGAGTGCTTTCTTTGTGCTAGGAACTGTGTTGGCATAATAATGGAGACCGGTATTGTCCATGCCACTTTGAAGCCTGCAGTCTAATGGAAGGACAGCCAATTTAACAAGACTGTCAGACAATGTGATGTTTGCTCTAATGATCGGGAGAAGTTAGCTTAAGGAGTATATATATATTGAAAGTAGAAGAGAAGATGTTGAAGAATGTGTCAGGCAGGGGCTGTACATGCGATTTGCACACAGGGCTGAAGGTGGGAGAGAACAGGATGCATTGCAGAAATTAAAAGAAGTTTGGTGTGTTTGAAGTGAAGCTGGAGAGCCAGGCTGGACCAGATGGAGAAGGTCTTTTGTAAGTCATTCAAAACTCTTTGGTCTTAGCATGTGTAGTAGTTATCTATCCCTGTATAAAAAGTTACCCCCAAATTTAGCAGCTTAAGTATTGTTATCTCACACAATTTTTCTGAGAGTCAGGAATCTGGGAGCTGCTTATCTGGATGATTCTGGCTCACAGTCTCTTAAGAGGTTTCAGTCAAGCTATTGTCTGTGGCTGTAGTCATCTGAAAGTTTGACCAGGGCTTAAAGAGCTACTCAAAATGGCTCACTCTCAGGATTACTGGTAGGAGGCCTCCGTTGTTCATCACATGAACCTCTCCTTAGGGCTGCTCATGACATGGCAGCTGCCTTTCTCCAGAAAAAGTTATCCAAGGGCGAACCACCAAGATGAAGCTACACAGTGTCTTTTATAACCTAATCTCAGAAGTGACATACCATCACTTCTGTCATATTCTGTCCGGCACACAGACCAGCCCTGGTACAGTTTGAGAGACAACTACATATCTACACTAATAAAAGAGAAAAATGGTAACTGGCGTACGACGCTACCCTTTTCATTGGTTAATCAGGGCTCTATGCAAATTAACTGCCAACTCATATGGCAGTTAACTGACAACAAAGATGGCGGTTAATTTGCATATGTAGGCACAATGCAGGGAGGCGAAAGGGAAAGCAGGAAGAAAAAAGTGACTATTAAAACAAAATAGAAACACATTTTTCCAGAATGTACCTGGACAGGCATCAGAATGCTTGGTAAATTCAATAAAATGCAGACTTTAAGGAATATACACAGCAGCTTTCACTTAAAGAATACCAGCACCTACAAGTAACAGATTTAACAAGTTAAACAATAAAATCCTAAATACTTAATTTCATTTAAAGAGACCAAACTTTTGCAGATCAGGGTATTCAGCAAAGACAATGTCATTAGAAATGATGTTTCAATGTCTCTCCATTCTAAGGCCTGACCATCTTTTACATTAGCTGAGTGTTAATAGATCCTCATTATAGTAAAAATTGTAGCAAATATCATAGAGCAAAAAAGAATGTATTTTCAACTGTGGTAAGACTGCAGCCCACAGGATTCTGTTAGTCAACTGTCCCCAAATGGAAAAAGGTTTTTCACTCCATTTTATTCAAGTATCTTAGTTTTAGGGTGGACGAATCTGAATTAATTTTAGAAGAGACCAAAAAGTTACTGTAGAAAGGTGTTGGCCTTGTGTACATAAGAGCTATTTAGGTTTCTTATTAAAACAGATGCTGCATAAGCAGGAACTGGTACCTCAGGCGAGGGGACTCACGGGAACCCCTTCCTCAGGACTTTGTTTTTCACCATGGTGAACTTACTGATGAAGACTTGAGCAAAATGCGGGTCGACCAGGTAATGGTATGTTTTCACGTTGGAGGGGAGCGGTTCCACAGGCACCACAGGGCATGGCGGTGTCTGCATGGAAGAGCAGCTGGGGGCCAAATGGCAAGACGTCTTGGTGACGTAGTCCACCAGCCTGTTGTACTGCTGTTCCGACAGTCTTTCTCGGACTTGGTCCACCTCCACATCACAGGCTGCTCTTGGCTGCTTGAGCTGCAGGATGAGCAGGTTGTTTTGCATGCTGTACTGTGCACAGTCGATCTCCATGACGGGGAAGGCCTGCTGCTGCGTGTCCTCGCTGACACTCACCACGAACAGCACTTCCGACGTTAGCAGCAGGAACCCTTCGTGCTCCCTGGCCAGAGCCCCTCACCAGAACCACATCCAGGGCGCCTCTGTCAGAGGCGTCAGGCCTGGGCAAGGGGCCGATCCTGCGATTGGAGGGTGATGGGGGTCAACGCCTGAGGGCTCTCAGTATGTGAGAGGGGGCAGGCTGAGCTGAGGGACCCTCCCCGCCACACACACACACACACACACACACACACACACCTAGTGCACGAATTTTGTGCACCGGGCCCCTAGTAGGTTATAAATACCAAGAGGTGAAGATCATTGAATGCTATTTTGTAGACTGGCTACTACAACATGTATTTCTTTTTTTAAATATATTTTTATTGATTTCAGAGAGGAAGGAAGAGATAGAAACATCAGTGATGAGAGAGAATCATTAATCGGCTGCCCCCTACTGGGGTATTGAGCCCATAACCTAGCATGTGCCCTGACCAGTAATCAAACCAGGACCTCCTGATTCATAGGTCAACGCTCAACCAACCATTGAGCCACACTGGCTGGGCAAAATGCATTCTTTTTATTTAACCTAGTATATTATACTTCTTAGACATGCAGATTTGTGTTCATTTGTAGAAATTTAGCAGTCATTATCCCTTCAAAAGCACCTTTCTTACACTCTATTTCTTTGTTCTGGGATTCTGTAATTAGAAGTATGTTAGACCTTTTATTTTCCATATCCCTTAGCTTGTTTGTCATATATATTTTTTTAATCTCGTCTCTCATAAAATTCTGGGCAGTTTCTTCAGATATATGTCTTCCAAGTCACTAGTTCTCTTTCTAGCTGACTCTAATCTGCTATTTAACCTATTCATTGAGTTCTTTATCTCAAAAACTATCTTTCATTTTTATAAGTTTCCTTTTTACTCTAAATCTGTCTCTTTTAAATAATATTTGTACATACTTATGATTGTGCCTTTTATTACTTGAAACTTAATGTGTAGTTCTTCTGTTTTTTTAATCTGACTCTTCTAATATTTGTGGTCCTTGCGGGTTTAAATCTGTTGTTTATTGTTTCTACTGACTCTCATGGTGCTTGCCTTCCCATGTATTTGTTAATTGTGAGTGCATTGTTTTCTTTCAATCTATGGGAATTTAGTGGGACTAAATTGGAGAAGCTTCCCTCTAGGGCAGCTGTCACCAATCGGTGGTCTGCAGACCACTGGTGGTCCATGAAGTCTGAAAAGTTGGCGACAGCTGGTTTAAGGAAACCTTTGGAGCAGCAGTTGCCAACCATTGGTCCATGGACCACTCACTGGTGGTACATGAGGTCCGAAAGGTTGGCAACCGCTGCTCTAGAGGGAATTAGCTTCCTTCTTTTTTTTTGTTTCTGCCAATAGTGAAGGGTCACTTCTGATCTGGAATACTTTAGCACACTTCTCAAGGATCTTAGCTCAGTTGGATCCCATGATTAGCTATCCCACTTCACCACTGGCCCAAAAGTAAGTATTTCAGCAGCATTGCTATTTACATCAGCCCTTTGTTTAACCCTCCCCATCCCTGAGCCTATCCCTTTGGCCTCTGCTTACTTTTTTGGAAGAGGGAATTAGGTAGTTTTTATCTAGAATCTAGTTTTACTGCAGTGAAAGGATAGTTTTTGTCCATTATGAAGCCCAAGACGCTAAAAATAGTAAGTGATTGTTATTGGAGGATTTTGAATGGAGGAGTGACATAGTCATATTTGCATTTTAGAAAAAAAATATACTGGCTACCATGTGGGAAAGTACTGGAGAAAAGCAAACCTAGAAGCAATTAAAACATCTGGTTGGAAATTAGAGTGGCCTGGGTAGGGTAGTAGTCGAGGGGATGGAGAAGTGTGGTTCGAATCAAGAGCCGCAAGTGGAATAAAATCCCAAAGGACGTAGAGATTGATTGGATGACGGGAATGAAGATAAAGGAGTGAAGGCTGAAGCCTAGATTTCTGTTATAGCCAAGCAGGTGGATGTCAGTACCACACATTAAGATAGGGAACAGCAGGTTTGGAGGTGGAGAGATTCATAAATTCGGTTTTAGACTTACTGTGTATGACATACTAGTGACATCCAAGAGGAAATGTCCAATAGAATGTTGTATGTACAAGGCTGAAGCTAAAGAGAGACTAAGTATATACAGGGAGTTATCAGCAGCATATAGTTAGAAATTAGGCAATCTATATATATAAAACACTAATATGCAAATAGACCAAATGGTGGAACAACCGAACAACCAAACAACCAGTTGCTATGACATGCACTGACCACCAGGGGGCGCTCGGATCATGGTGGGCATTGGCCACCATGGGATGATGGAGTAGGTGAGCGGGGGCACCAGACCAAGGTGGGGTACTGGTTGCTGTCATCGGGGCGAGCCTCTGGTGTTACTGAAAATTCTTTGCTCCCACGCACCATGGTCCCGCCCAGCACTCACACCTGCTGCCAGCGCTGGCCCTGCTCGCACCGCTGCCAACCGGAGCTGCTGCTCATACCCGCTGATGGCGCCAGCCCTAATCACTCTGTGCTGTCAGCAGATGTGAGTGGGGCCGGCACCATCAGCTCATGGGAGTGGCAGTGGCTGCAGACAGACAGGACTGGGGGCCATGGCGGGAGGGGTCAGGTGGGGGTTCAGAGGATGAGCCAAGACCCACCCCTGTGCCCACCGCAGCCTCGTGACCCACAGTTCCTTTCAAGGTGCACGAATTCGTGCACTGGGCCCCTAGTGGGAATATAAGCTTGCCCAGGGAGTGTATTTAAGAAAAGCATAGAGCTAAATCCAAAATCCTGAAGCACACCAGTATTTAAGAGACTTATAGAAGGAGACTGAGAAGGTGTGACAAGGGAAACAGGAGAGAATGCTGTCATGAAATGGCAAGTTAGATTTTGTCAGGGTTTGGGGCAGAAGGTTGAATGAGAAGGAGGTAAGAAAATGAAATTGAAAATAACTTTTTCAAGAAGCTTCATATTGAAAGGAAAAAGAGAGATGGCAATATCGGAAAGGGAATGTGGGGTTGAAGAAAGTTGTCATTTCTTAAATAGGAGAGAGTCTAACTTGTTAATTAACAGGTTTGTAGAGAGACCTTATCCGGGGGAATGGACTAGACTTAGTAAGGATCGACTGTGGTGATGAAGAGGCCAAGATGTCTCTCATACCATTTCTGCTGGTTCTTCCTGACTTCAGATAGTCCCAGGTCTTTTCCTTTAATTGCCTTTGCCATCTCTTACAGACACCTTGTTTCTCTTCTTCCCTTTATAGCCAGATTCCTGTAAAAATGATTAATAATCTCAACTCCATTTCTGTACCTCCCATTCCTTCTTCATTCAACCCTTTCCATGCCGACTTCTCTCACAACCACTATTATGCTCTCTCAGGACATGAGTGATTTCATTCTATCCAAGTCCAGTAGTCTTGTCTCATTTCTCATCTTCCCAGAACCATGAATTTTAGACCATTGATTGATCTTTTTTTCTGTCAACATAAATGACACTGAACATGTTGCCAATTCTTTATCTATTTTTTAAATGTTTATTTACTTCATATCCTGCCTGAGTTTGTAATTACTTATTTATTTACTTTATTTACTAAACAGGAACCCAAGGCAGCAGGACTGTGTAACACATTTTATTTAGTGATGCATTTCAAGCATTAGTGTGGCATATAGCAAGAGTGCAGGATATATTCATCAAATGAATGAAAATGACAAGGTCAAACAAGATTTTTTCTGTGACTTTTTCTAGCTTTTTATATTCCTGTTTCTTGCCGTCTCTGTTTCCTCAGTCCTTGTTCCCTATTCCCTATCAGGGTTGCTTTTCCGTAAAACTCCGACCTCAGTCTTGCTGCTGCTGTAGAACATAACTGAGACCTCAATTCAGACAGCTCTTGGATATGTATCTTCCGCCCTGGTCCATTTTTTAATCTTAGATTTTTAGACATATTCCAATTTATATTCCTACCATTTTTTTAAAAAAATCTTACTAATTAAATAGGTTAAAATAGCATCTTGTTTTCATTTGCTGTAGAGAATGAATTGTATTTATTGGCACTTTGTCTTTTTTGGTGAATTGCTTATGTTCTTTGTCCATTTACTGTTGAGATCTTATATTTTTCTATTTCTGAACTTTGTAAATGTCAATGTCATAATACTTTTAAATCCATTTAGCTACCTAAATTTTTTTAAATGTGTTCATT